GGAGGGCTGTCGTTGGGGCCGTTGAGGCAGCGGCGGCGTTGCGTCCAGAACTCCTGATGGAGGCGGCCCGGAATCCCCGGCCGGGGGTCTGTTGCAAGCCCGGCGGGCGGCTGGACATGAACCACGGCTTCGTGCACCACATCCGACGGAACCAGATCGCTCGGTACCTCCCTGCCCCGCCGCCGCCGCCGCCGCCGCTGGCCTGGCCCCGCCGGGCCCGGCCGTCGCTGACTCCCGCTCGGCTCCCCGCAGGGACGACTACGATAAGAAGGTGAAGCAGGCGGCCAAGGAGAAGCCCAGGAGGCGGCACACGCCAGCGCCCGCCCGGCCCTGCAAGCCCGACCTGCAGGTGTACCTGCCGCGCCGCCGAGGTGAGGGCCGCCCGCCGCGCCCCTGCCCTGGCAGGAGAACCAGGGCTTGGCCTCCTCGCCCCTGCCTGGAGCTGCGCCTCAGCGGACCCCACATCTGCTCGGCAGAGCTGGGAAGGCCTCGGCCCCCGGCTAAGCATCACCGTTACAGAGGGTACCGGGGACCCTGCACGGGATTCTTTGCCCACCGGTTTGTCCCTTTGTAACCTGTGTTGGCAATTCTGCTACGTATCAGCCTGGCAACGGTGTAAGCGACCGGGACATAATTATGGAATGAACCCGAGAAAATAGCCATTTCCCCATGTTCCTTGTGACCTAGAAATCATGCTGTATGACACTATTAAGCATTATTTAAAGTGTGACTTAAGGTCTTACATATATTAGCCCGTTGACCTCTGAAGTTGAGAGCTCTTGTCATTTATTTCACAGTCAGGCAACCAGCGCAGAGAGGCTAAGTAACATGCCCAAGGGCGCAGACCCAGTAGATTCAGAACTTGGATGTAAACCCAGGGAGAGCTCTGTCTGTCCTTCCACTGCCTTCCGGTCCTATTTGCAGGGCAGGTGTGCACTGCGTGCTGCTCTGTGAGCACTGTGCTGGCCCCAGAGCAGAGCTGGAAAGGGAGGTCAAGTGTCTGATTGACAGCACAAAACACACACACACACACACACACACACAGTCTGCCTGAAGAGTGAGGCTTTCTTTTACCGCATTATTCTCCACCTCATCTTTGGGCGAGGGCTTCAGTGGCATCTACCCCCCTCCCTCTCACTCTGGTTCATCCTTCCAGATGGTTCTTCAGCCCCAGTCAACCCAGACTGTGAGGAGTCCGGTGAAAGCAGCAGTAGTGCTGGCTCTGAGCTGGAGCCATCGGGCCGTCAGCTCTTCTGCTTAGAATACGAGGCGGACAGTGGAGAGGTCACGTCAGTTATCGTGTATCAGGTACGCCTTATGGAAACAGCCGCAGCTGGAGGCCCTGGCTGTGGCAGAAATCACTGCCACCCCGAGCCGCTGTCTGCTTCAGGGCCAGTGGGAAACCAGTGCTCCACATGGGAGCATAGGACTGCTGGGTGATGTTGACACACAGTGATTCTCTGCAGGGGAACAGAAAGGAGTTTCGGCTCCCTGGTTGAGAATCACTGTTACATGGGATGCCTGAGAAATGACAAAAGAAACCTTGAGCCAAATGGAGTTCTGTGAGAGTGTGGTCTAGGAACGGGGCAGGTTGCCTTTCTGAAAGAAGCCGGGCCCTCAGCTTCCTGACTCTTCCTCCACATAGGACGATGACCCAGGAAGGGTGAGTGAGGAGGTGTCAGCACACACGCCTCTGGATGCACCCATGCGAGAGGCCCTCAAGTTGCGCATCCAGGAGGAAATAACAAAGCGCCAGAGCCAACGCTGATCAGGCGGAAGGTGTGCTTTCCAGGCTGGAATTACTGCACCTGGAAGAATTCTGTGAGGGAGCTCACTTCTAGTTTGGGGGTGCCAGGGCCAGTCTTGTCTGATCTTGAGCTTCCACCCCTGCTGCAAATATGACGGTGTCGTACAACTACACCTGGTCCACCTCCCTTGCTGTAGTTTTTTCTTATATGTTGACACATTTGCCTGGTCTAACACCTTGGAATTGTTTGAGAATTTTGTGTGGCTAACTTGTTGTGGAGGAAGAGGCATAGGGGAGCTAGGGTTATGGAGCCTTTTGCCCACATGCTGCTTGCTGTCTCACTGAGGTCTGAGGTCATATGCTTGACCCCTCTATGAGCCATGTTTGTTATTTTTTGGCTCTTTTTCATGTTCCTGTTCACTTCCACCCATGTTTTCCTAGATCTTTTTCTCCTCCCCTTTCCCTCTTTTTGTTTTCACTAGAATTCATCAGTTCTCCCCTGCCCTTCAACATGACTACGCAGCTCCACTGCTCAGGACTCTTTTTGGAGGTGGAGGGTCCCAGACCTCTGTCCTTCTAACAAGTTCTCCAGCTGGTTCTGATACCAATGCAGTGGGAGACTTCTGTTTCCGAGGCCTACTTGGAGGGCTGTCTCCTGCTCCTCCATGGCTTCTCCTGGTTTCTTTCAGGCTCCACACTTTGCCCTCTAGAATGCTTCAGGAAGAGTGGGCTTAGGTTATAGGAATTTCTTACAGTTAGACCTGCCTTGGCTAGGACTGCAGAATTCCAGCTTTTGATCTCATCCCCAGCCGTGGGTAGACTGTTTCTGCTCAGACTAAAGGGAAATTATCGAAACAAGCTTTAAACTGACTCCAATTGTGACTTCACAGTGTTGGATGTATGTATGAAGCGAAACTCAACATTAGTAATAATTGTATGTTTGGAGCATACATTTTAAGAAAATTTCTAAATAACAGATGCCCTAGAGGGGCGGGGGAGACAGCTCAGTGCAATAAGTGCTTACCTGGCAAGCTCAAGGGCCTGAGTTCAATCCCCAGTTCCACCAAAAAAAAAGCTCTAGAGCCAGGTGTGGTGGTACAAGCCTATGATCCCAGCACTTGGGAGGCTGAGGCAGGAGGATTGCCATAAGTTGGAGGCCAGCCTAGGCTACATGGTAAATTCAAGGCCAGCCTAAACTACACAGTGAGACCATGTCTCAAAAAAAAAAGAAGAAAAGGAAAACCAAATGCTCTAGGAAGTAAAATGATTTCCCTTTAGTCTGCCCCATATTTTTCCCTTTGCTACTACTTCCCAGCAGTAAATAAATCAGATACTTGAAGTGTCTCAAGAATAGTAATGCTCCCAACTAGAGAACTGTAAAAGAAATAGTACTGGAGGGCCAAGGAGATGGCTCAGTGGAATAAGCACTTCCCTGGCAAGTGCAAGGCCCTGAGTTCAATCCCTGGTTCCACAAAAAAAAAGAAAGAAATAGTACTGGAGCCAGGTGTGCTAGTGCATGCCTAACATCCCATCACTTGGGAGTGTGAGGCAGGAGGATTGTTGTGAATTTGAGACCAGCCTAGGGTATAAAGTGAGCTTAAGACTAGCCTGAACCGCATAGCAAGACCCTGTCTATAAATAAATAAATAAAGCACTGCTAGGGATGAAACCCAGGACCTCATATAGGAAGCAAATACTCTTTATCAAGGAGCTAATCCCCTAGGCCTAAGGGAACATTTTTCAACACAGCACCTGTAAGAAGGCTGTAGGTGTAGCCCAATGCAGAGTACATAGCTAGCATGCATAAGACCTTGGGTTCAATCCTTAGCACCATATGGAAAGAAAGGGTTAGGCTAAGGTCTGAAGTCCACAGGACATTCTGTGCAACAGAGTATTTGTTCTCAGCAAATCAGCGTACCCTCAGTGTCTTGCAGTGAGCATGTGAGCTCTGAGACTTACTGGAACCAAAACCCCCTGTTCCAGGGGTTTCTCTACATTAGGGTCTCAAGAGCACTCCGTGTCATCTCAGCAGCTTTTCTTATAAAGGACACCTGAGGGCACTGTTGGTTTGTGACCTGTACCCTTGCAAGCCAGCCACCTCAGAAGGGGCAAGGCAGCTACTTCAGCTACAGTATTCAGACGTTAAGCACTGTGAACCATAGCAGTGCCCAAGGAGTGGTGGGACAGTGAGTGAGGTGGTAAGTCAAAAGGGCCTGGTTATGAAAATGGCCAGGGACCAGAGTGCTCCAGACCCATAGCTGGCCTGATGCTAAGTGCCTTAAACTTGCTGCCCAGGGCTCAGTTCTGCTTTCAAAGAAAAATACCTGTGCCCTCTACTTACGCAGCTGTGTAAGAAGTGCCTTTGGATTTACAGTGTTAACTGCTCTTCACAACCTCTGGGCTAGACTCCCCTTTTCTCTCTGCAGGTTAGATGCCCAGTCATTTTAGTCTTCCAGCTCTTCAACAGATTTGAGGACCTGCAACATAAAATTTCACTGCAACTTTGATTTGTTGGTCTGGAAATACTTTTGATGTCTCTCCTCACAGCTAAATCATCCATTTTCTGGTTTGAATATTGGAACCTAGAAAGTCCTAAAAAGTGCCATAGGGACATAGTACCTGCACCTTGAGCCTCCCCTCTTGTCTCTTGGAAAGGGCAAGGTAGTATGTACCTGTCGTGCACGGCTATGCATCTGTCACGTGATCCTTACAAAAACCCTCTCAGGTATTTATGGAAACTCTTTGCTTTTAACCTTTTTTCTTAAGGCACTTTGCTTATCTAGTACAAATACAGTATTTTGTGCTCGGGAGAACACTGTAATTCTTACCTGATTGTGCAGTGTACATCTAGTTCACTAGCCCTGCCACCAGATGTATTTGCCGATTTCAAAAATTGATGTTTTGCCATCGGTGAGCATTTTTCTCACAGGCTCTAGAAATGCGCAATGGCAGCTGCCTTGGACTAAATGGGACTTCCCAGCAAGCTGATTTAGAATCAACATAGACTTTATATGTTCTTGGCTAAAATTCATCTTAAAAACAGGGCCTGCTGGTCCCTTCACCTAAGGTGATCCTGAATCTTAAGGCCTTGTGTTTCCTGGGCCACAATGGCTGATGTTACTGATAGAAGCAAGCTGGTGTGCAAGGCTTTGGGCCAGGTATGGTAGCACACCTTTGTACTCAGGAGGCTGAGGCAGGAGGATCACCAAAAGTCCCAGGGCTCCATAGTGAGTTCAAGGCCAGCTTGCACTACATAGGGAGACCCTGTCTCAGAAAAAAAAGAAAAGAGGAATAAGCACAGATGACTCTCCTACCTCTCAGCCCTTTGGAATAACTACCGGGAATATTGACAGTTATTTGAAACATTTTACCTCTAAATTCTTGCCCTGCCTCTGAGGAATCAAGAGGCCAGATAGCCACAAGCGCCCATCCCTGTTTCCCTAGAATTTGGAATTTTACTATAAGTCAGAACCTCTTGAATGAATGGTTCCTTTGCCTCATCAGAGCCAATACAACAGGAGTCTGGTGGCACTGGCCGTGTCATGGTGCTAGACATAAAAAGCCATACATTTTGCTTTCTCATTTCATGTTTCTGCTGTTTGGGTGAATAAAATGAAATGTGCAAATTACTTGGAAATCTCAGAGGGGTATTTTTCAAATACAATATTTTTGGTAACCAATAAACTATTTTTACAGCATTTGCTTTTGCCAAGAGTTGTGAAATCACTTGTGTACACAGGGAAGTGGAGATTAAATGGCTGTCCTGAGGTCATTCCCCCACAGAATCAGTGCTGGAAATCTCATCTCTTGCTTTGCTTAACTATTTTAGAACCTGTCCTAGTTGAAGCGTAACAGCTAGACTCACGTAGCAGTAATAGAGTTGGGAGGGAGTTTTTAAGACATCTGGTCCTACTCTTTATCTGACACAACTGTCTTCCTTATCTAGTAGCCAGAGTTCTTCTGTCTCAAGGACCTTTATCTTGGAGTAATTCTACTTCAGGAACTAGTTGTGTTGTCATATTAGGCCTAAAATTGCTTCCACTCTTACCCCCAAGTCTTACTAAAACAGCCTGATGACTGGACGGGAATGCACACTCAGCTCAGCAGAATACAATAAGTACTAAGAGCTTTCCAGTGAGGCATCACAGCCCCATTGGATAAATAAGAAAAGGGGGGCCAGGGAGATGGCTCAGTAGAATAAGCGCTTCCCTGACAAGCGCAAGGGCCTAAGTTAATGTAAGAAAAGGGCCCCTGCTCTGGTGGGAACGCAGCTGGATAGGGAGATGGATAATGCCTCAATATGAATTAGAAAGGCACCCCTGAACCCTCACTGATGGCACTCCCCTGTAATGGGGGGGGGGCTGCCATTGGCTTAGTTGTTTAAGAGACTGCTTAAAGCATTCAGGCTCTGGATGCTGTGGTTTGATCCCGAGATCCTCAAGCCTTACCAGACCTGCCCTGAAGGCATCCTGAGCCAACCCCAAAAAAAAAAAAAAAAAAAAAAAATCCTGTAATCTCACTCCTGAAGCTGAGGCTGGAGAATCACACTCCCTGTGCAGCTTAGTTAGATCTTGCCTTATAAAGATAGAGGTGCCCCTCAGTTCATGAGTCAAATAGAGACTGGGCTGGATTTTATGCCCCTGGCCTGTTCAACCAGGTGTTCTTACACAGGTCACTCTGCACCCCCATATATCCTGGCTGTGCTTGAACTCGTGCTGATGTGAGTGGGAAGAGAGAAAGCTCTCCATTCCTATCTTCCAGTGGTTCCACTTCCACCCTCCTTGGGGTCCATGAGGTTTCTCCTTTTTTGCACCATTGGGAGTTTTTCTCTTATTTCTCTACAGTCCAGTGTCCCATTTCTGCATATAACCTTTGCCTCACCAAGGTTACTGTTTTCTGCTCCCGGCAGCCTGGAGCCACCCACCTTTGGGTTAATGATCTGCTCCAGAGTGGTCTCACAGGGGCTCTGCCACATAGAGCCAGGGACACTACTAGTGAGTGAACAAAGTATACCTGCCCTTTCGACAATGAAAAGTCTGACCAGTAACCCTGTAGAACGCTGAGGCAGGAGGACGTAAATTCGAGCCCATCCTGGGAAACTGGCTCACAGAAACCCTGCCTCAAGAAAATAAAAAACATCTAGGAATGCAGGTCGATGCAAAGGCCTTGGTTCAAGCCCCAATAAGGCGGTAGGGGTGCAGCACACACTATCTACAAATTTTGGTGAAGCTAACTTGCATACAATCCTGTT